GTACCGTTCCGTGTCCACAATGTATGCTGGACACGGGTCCATAGCATAACGATTGGTTCCAAAGTTAGCTTTACACAAGTTAACTTTTGCCTATTGATCATCTTGGTTTGAATCGGTCAGCTATGTGCTTATGTGTAACATAAAATGGTTTACATTCTTGTGGTCCTTTATCAACTAAAGTCATATGACGAGTTTTATTCAGAATACACTTCCGTTGTGGGTTTTCCGGTAAATTAAAATTAAATTATGAGTTTCATGTTAAATATAGTATAGCTAAAATGGATAAATGTATTAAAATTAAATTTTAAATTAAACCACAAGAATTGTCCTGAATAGTTTATAAGTGTTGTAAGTAAACTAAAGAAGATTAATTAACAAAATTTAATGTGGAGATGAATGCATGGCGCAAATGTTGTGATTGTGACGCAAAACAACAAAGTGGATAATGTGGGAGGTACTATACGCTGAGTTTGCAAATTAAATTATTTGTCGACATAAGAGGTGGCAAGCTTTCAGTACTCTTTATTGTTCTGGAAACGAACGTACATACACCTCAGACCACAGTCTGCAATAACTTGTACTAAACGAAGTAGCAGCGCAATGCTAAGATCAATATTTATTAGTATCTTAAAAATTATAGTTCGTAATAAAAAATATAATTTTATTTCATTATATTTCTATCATATCTTTTAATGGCAAGGTATTAGATTTAGTTATTTAGGAGGGTGTTTCAATCAAAGATTTTAACTTTCAAATATTTATAAGGAATAAGGTTCAAATTGACCATTGAACGTAACCTGAAAATGCAATTAGGCCACTGTACGAAAAAAAGATGCAATTAGACCACTGAACATTCAAAAACGTGCAATTAGGCCACTGAACATTCCAAATGTATGCAATTTCACCGGATAGTAGGTTACCATCAATTTTAGCAGGTTACCTGCTTACGTGGCGGCTGAGTTGGCATTTTTAATAATTTTTAAATAATTTGTAATAACTTTTAATAATAAATTTTTAAAAAAAAATTGAAAATAAATAAATAAATAATTTTTTTTAAAAAAAAATTAAATTTGTTTTAAATAATTTTTTTTAAAAAAAATTATTATTAAACTTTATTAAAAATTATTAAAAATGCCAACTCAGCTGCCACGTAAGTAGGTAACCTGCTAAAATTGATGGTAACCTGCTATCAGGTGAAATTGCATATATTTGGAGTGTTCAGTGGCCTAATTGTACTTTTTTTTCGTTCAGTGGCCTAATTGCATTTTCAGGTTACGTTCAGTGGCCAATTTGAATCTTATTCCTATTTATAAAAGTCAAAATCGAATACAATCAAACTTTTAAAATCGTTAAAATATTTTAAAAATCTAAAAAACTCTTAATTGAATACACTTCTCTTAAATTTCTGTCTAACAATCTCCTAATAATTAATTACTGAACTTATCCTTTGTCCATCTCTACTAGTAAACTACTAATTATTAGATCTAGTTTTTCACTGGCTTTCGCCCAACATGGTGCGTGACAAAGTTTTTATTTCTTTTCTTTTGAAAACCCGTGACAAAGTTAATTAATTTTAGATGGTCATGTTGTCGCCGTTACGTTTATCATATCCCAATTCCCAATCACATGTCCATAGTGGCAACAACGTTTGCGGTGGTGTTGTTTAAAAAGTGCAAAACCAAGGGGAAAATGGCACCTCATGAAACAAAAAAGAGTGACAAGATAATCGAAATGACGACAGAGATATTCTTTTTACAATCACGGCCCACATAGCACTGTGCGTCTCGCGCCTTCCAAAATGATGTCGTTTTGTTAAGATGTTAAAAAAAATCTTTTGTTTTGAATACACATAAACTCATAACAGAATACACATAAACTAACATAATACATAATAATACACAAATTATTATCTGAATACACATAATGGTGTTTGGTTAACATAATACACATAAACTCATAACACAATACACAAACTTTTAACTGAATACACATCATGAGGTTTGATTAACATAATACACATAAACTCTTAACTGAATACACATAAACTCATACAATTTTAACTGAATACACATAATAGGGTATGGTCTGTTCGGACGGACGAAGTAACGTCAACAAGAAACGTACGCATTTTGTGCTAGACGTACATTTCTATGTGAGCAGTGGTGCACGATATTAATTGCCTTTTTTTTTTTGCCGTGATCAACTCGGCACGTGGAGGCCCAGCATCAATTATTGGCTGATTTCGTTTACGTATCTTTTAGGTTTAATTGTTTAAACCCCTTGGATTTGCCAATTTTGACAAAGATGACATTCTATTACTAAATGTTAATTTTTTTTATTTTTTTTTTCAAACTCTCCTAACACCTTATAATCATACGATTTATATAGGGAGTGTTTGGTAAAGGTATGATTGAGTTAGGTGGTTTAACTAATTGATAGCATTAGTTGATTGTAGAAAATTGTTTGGTAAATTAGTTGTTAGTTGATTACATACAAATGACTTTCTCAAAAAGGTAATCGAAAGAGCTACTTTGAGTAGCTTTTTGAATTTTAACATTTTGGAGCAATAAGTTGTTACAGAAAATTAAGTAATCAAATGCTAATATTGATTGTTTAACTAAGTCAAACAGTTAATAATGATCAAATAAATTAAAATTAATTGACAGACTAATTATTTTACTAAATAGGACCATTGTCAATTAGAGCTCCTCTTCACTATCTCGTATGCCAAGGACTATGTTCCCTTATTGTATATGACATAATCTGATAATGATATGAACATATTATATACACCAATAATATACGAAAATTTTATTTTTTTAGTTGAAATGTCTTGTATTATTGTCACTATCAAAGACTCCATATATATCAGTCTGTGAGGAGATTATATTGGACCATCCATTGAATATACAATGTATAGTCACAGATTTTATATTGCTGCAAGTTTAAAACGTGAATAGATTTACTTAGCAAAGTTTGGAAGGTGACATACAAATTGGTTTTAATTATAATTTTAATATGATCCATTAGGCACCAACAGACGAGGCAAATTATTGTATGGATCATGGTCCACACAGCTGTGTAGATCACAGTTCAAAATAATATGATGTCGTTTTTAATTACATTAAAAAAGAATTTCATTTGTCAATAACGGTGAATAATCAGCCGATTATGTGCTAGAATAATGAACTTTCTGGAGTAAGATTATGTATTTTATGAGTTATAATAATGTACTTTATGCTTTAGAATAATGTACTTTATGCTTTAGAATAATGTACTTTAAGAGTTTACGATTATGTATTTTATGAGTTATAATAATGTACTTTATGCTTTAGAATAATGTACTTTAAGAGTTATAAAAACGTAGGTTGCAGTACGTAGTGGAGTTAAGGAAGAAGCAATGGAGAAGAAAATCGCATGAAAAAAAAAAAAAAAAAAATTAACAGTGTCGTCTCCCTGAGGTCTACGCAATAACAATTAAACGGACAATGGTACTTTTAATATACCTAATCTAAGCTTGAATGTTTTTCATTATAGGCTTGTACGTTTAGTTCCTAGAGTACAGTTAGTTTAAGCATGTTTCTCTTGGCTTATATTGTTGGTCTGTTGCTTTAATATCCATATTTTTGTAATTTCAATTTTTTTTTTTTTGAGAAATGGGTCAAATAGACTCTTAAACTTTAATCTAAAGGTCAATTAGGTCCTTAAACTTTTAAAAAGTTCAATTAAACACTTAAACATGTCAAATTGAGTCAATGAAGCCTAAAAACCAGTTAAATATGTCAAATTGGGTCAATGAAGTCCAAAAACCAGTACATAACCTGTTATTACAAGTTATTTCAATTTCGACGACGAATTTCGGCCACCGATAACAAAATCCGACCACCGGCGACAATTTCCGGTCGTCTTCCGAGAGAAGACTACCGGATGGGCGCCTTCTCCAGTGGAGAAGACGGCCGTCTGGTCGTTTTCTCCATTGGAGAAGATGACTAGATCTGGTCTGGTAATCTTCTCCAATGGAGAAGACGCCTGGGTCTTCTCCACTAGAGAAGGTGGCAGACGACCGATCGTCTTCTCCACTGGAAGACGACTGGACGGTCGAAAATTGTTGCCGGTGACCGGATTTTGTTGTCGGTGGTCGAAATTCGTCATCGGTGTCCGAAATTCGTCGTCAGAATTGAAATAACAGGTCATTTACTGGTTTTTCGGCTTCATTGACCCAATTTAACATGTTTGAGTGTTTAATTAAACTTTTTTAAAGTTTAGATAGAGGCCTAATTGACCTTTAGGGTAAAGGTTAGAGCCTATTTGACCCTTTTCTCTTCTTTTGTTTTTACCCTTTCCTTGTACGATTTCCTTAGGTTTTTTTTTTTTTTTTTTTTTTTAAACCCCTCATCTATATGGATTAATTTTAATAATATTAATTATGGAAAATCGATGCTAGTAGATAGAGAGTAGTCCCTTCTTGTCAAAAACTAGACACATGCAAGGACAAATGTTTGCAGAGCTAAGATATTCTTGTATGTTCTTATTCAAACTCCTTCCATTTAAACCAACACTTTTTAATTTGGTCCAATTCCATTTCTACTTCCACATTGTTTAACCCCTTCTCATTGATGACAATGCAAAGGACAATGAGAAACAAATTTGTTGCCCCGGTCAATAAGGGTTGGCAAGTGGATAAAACTTATTATTATATCAAAATATTAAAAATTTGATTATTATTGTCAACATCTTCTCGATTGAACTTGTCATACGCATGACTTTCGTAATGTGATATACCTTTTATGCATGTATAGTTTGAGAGCTATTATACAATAAATTTACCTTTACATACCTTTAAATAGTAACTACAAATTTTTTCGATCACAAAAAAAAAAAAAAAAAAAAAATGCTACTATTATTTAAAACTTAATAATAAATACATTATTATTTTTTAATTAAAAGAGGCAGGTACTATTATTTAAAACTTAATAATAAATACATTATTTTTCCATCAACTTCCTCTTCCACAAAATTATATTATTTTGTCAATACTACAGTTTCACCGTACCTCGCAAGTTGCATCGATCACATCTTGGATAAGTAAAGAGATATTGAACGAAGAAGACCCTCCTTCTTCTCCAGCCATCTTCGCCATCTCTGCAAGTTTCTGAGCTCTTTTCCTCATCATCTCCTCTCCTTCATCGCCCATTAGACAATCTATGGCGTTCTTCACTTGCTCTCTCTTCACCATCACCCCTTTCTTCTCTTCTTGCCATGAATTCACGCCCACTTCAACGCCAACTCTCACCCCAATCTTCAAGACCTTCACGATGAACTTCTCGTTCAAGAATTGCTCGGCGAACATGGGGAATGTGATCATGGGAACGCCGGCCGATATGCCCTCGAGAGTCGAGTTCCATCCGCAGTGGGTCATGAATCCTCGGATGGACGGGTGGGATAATATCTCGAGCTGTGGAGCCCAACCTCGGACGATCAACGCCCTTCCTTTCACCCTCTCTTCCAGCCCGTATTCTTCCAACCATTTCTCGACCTGCGAGGAGAAGTTGAGGCCTCGGATGACCCAAATGAAGGGCGAGTTTGATGCCTCTAGCCCCAACCCGATTTCTTTTAACTGGGAAGGTGAAATCTGGCAGAGACTGCCGAAACAAGCGTATATGACGGAGCGTGGTTTCATGGTATCAAGCCAAGGTAAACAGTCTCGGTCGGAGGAGAATCTGTTCCCTCTGTTTCGCTTCTCGTCGGTTTCTCTGTTGCAGAGAGAAACCGGGCCGACACACCATACGGCTCTCCGGAGTTTCTTGTACTCGTTCACGTACCACGGCTCCAGCTCCTCGAAAGTGTTGATAAAACTCCCACGAGCAAAATTATGAGTCTTTTTGATTCTGTCCATAATGCTCACCCACTTGTCGGACTGTTTCACTGTGTTTTCAATAAGCTGACCCTTGCGGAGTTCTATGTTGTCGGGGACACGAGGGACGAAGAACGTGTCAGAATCGGTGTCGGCAGCCTTAGTCTCCTTCAAGATATGCGAGACGACGTTAGTGAAACAGGAAACCGTCTGGAACACGTACCTCGGAATGTCGAACTTTGTCGCAATGTCTTGCACCCAAGAAAACACGCTGGTATCCACGATGCAACTCGGCTTGGGGTCCAGCCTCGACACGATTTTCTCCAGCGGTTCTCGGAGCAAGTCGGAGGCTTGGAAGAAGTCGATGACGAGATCCATTGAAGCGAGGGAATCCATGTTTTCGCAGCCTTGGGGCAGGCCGGCTTGTCGGCTGGGAAACTCGAGGGTGATTAGTTGGATTTTGAGGTTCGATTTCGCCGCATGAATCTTGACGAAGTCGTTGTACCTGTCGGCATTGGAAGGTGTGGTGATGATGGAAACGGTAACGCCGCGTTTGGCTAGCAATTTTGCAAAGTCTGTCAGGGGGATTATATGGCTTTGCGACATTAGGGGTATCAAGAGGAAATGAAGCTTTTCCATTTGGGGAGCGGAAGCGGCCATTGTAGATAGAACAGCTTGACACAGAGAGTGATGTCTGCAAAGAGTTCAAGCTAGCTATATATATATATATGTGTGTGCGCGCGCTCCTATCATTTGAGTATGGCGTAATACCATACGCCATTTTGATATACGCCCTGTTTGGTAAAATGACTGTTAGCTGATAGTTGTTTACTGTTAGCTGATTGTGTTAATTATAGGGTATAAATAGTTGATAACATTGGCTGATTGTAGAAAAATGTTTGATAAATTAGCTGTTAGCTGATAACTGTTTGATATAATTTCTTTTCTCAAAGAGCTAATTGAAAAAGCTGCTTGGAGTAGCTTTTTGAATTTTAGCCTTTTGGAGTTACAAAAAGTTAATTAATCAAACATTTATATTGATATTTTAACTAAATCAAACAATTAATAGTGGTTAAATAAGTCAAAATTGGCCTATAGGCCAATTTTTTACCAAACAGGGCCATAGGCATTTATGAATGGCGGATTATGAGTGGGGTCCACTTGCAAATAACCCATATCTCAATTAAATAATAACCATATCTTTATATGGGTGTTGGTAAATTGTATTGAGTTATTAATGAGTTTAGCTAGTTAATAGCTGATAATGTTGAGTAAATTAGCGATTAGTTAGTTCATAGTTGATTACATACAAAATGACTTTCTCACAAATTTTAAGTAATTTTTGAATTTTAATGTCTTGAGCAATAAATTTTTATAAAAAATTAATTAATTAAATATTCATATTGATTGTTTAATCAAGTTAAACGGTTAATAGTAGTCAAACGAGCCAAAATTAGTGATAGGTTAACTATTGTGCCAAATAAGGCTATAATATTTTTTTTTCAAAAGAATAATCGAATTAAACAATAATTATATAATTACTTTAATTTATATGCATTTCAATGAAATTTTTTTTAAAAATAGTAGATCATACTTTTTAGCAATGTTGAAAAAATTGCTAGGCGCCCTTTAAGCGCCTGGGGACCGTCTTCAGCGCCTAGCGGGCGCCTATGCACGATTTTTGCAACACTACTTTTTAGATTACAATAACATAGATTCGAGGTGAATTAGCTATGCTTATGAAACGTTTGCCTAATCTTTCTCCCAAGAGATTGAATTTTACACCTAAGGGTATTCTACACTCTGGCTCGACAGAGCATTTGGAAGAATATAAATCACGGCGATTCAATGGCTCGGCAAATATGGCTAATGCTAATGCGCACAAGAGATCTGCCAACTTAATTAGGCATAATTCTTACACTGTCGCTCCAAAGTTCGAACTTTGATCTTTTCTCCAAAATACTATCTACTAAATCAGTAAGCTAAGTCCATGCGGGCAACGTTTACCTAATCCTAAGAAAGCCGCCTTTGGCGTGTTCTATAATCGATGTGTTCACTTTCCCAGTTTCCCAACAGACATGCCTCTCCCTTCCATTTATCTCTGATGTCCATTGCTATCTTGCTCACCCAATTGAATTGGCCGGTAATCTTGTTTGTTCCTTGAAAATGTGGTTGACACCCACAAATCATATCAATAATTCATCTACAGGTCAATATGATGGACCCGATCGAAGTTATGTTAGTCCATGAATAATGCATAAAGCAACTACTCCACATTTAATTGTTTCGTGTATTACATCACTTACTCTAAATTGGAAGAACACGTTTTAGTCTTTAGCATTCACAATTATTAGGCAATTTTAATTTATAATTGTGAGTTGAACTTAAACTTGTCTATGTGATATGTCTACATTTTTTTTTTTTTTTTTGACGAAGAAGGATATTCTAGAATGATAGTGATATATTTAAAGTGAATAGTTAATTTAAGGAGTAAAAATTGTAATTAAAGTAAAATAAAATAAGATAACAAAAGTTAAGTAGATTGTAACTAAATACATCTCTGTACTTTTTTAAATGAATAGTCATAGGTTCAAACCTCAATAACTCAATAAAAAGCTAACGATACTAAAAGATAAAAATAAAAAACTTTACACAAAATGACATGACAAACAAACTATATATTTAAGAGCAAATAGTTTTTTAAATAAACAATGGACGGGCTCATAAAGCCCCACCAACCTACACAAGACAAGTTAAGAAAAATAAAATCACAAAACTTGAGAGTGACAACTGCTACACAAAATGACATGACATATATATATAAGCTAGGTTACACAAAGTTTCACTCGATCAAAGTTCAATGCTGCATATTATTAATTATTTTGTGCTGATATGATGATTTGTTGGATTAATAGTGTGAGGTTGAGGTGAGAAGACCCTCCAACTTGCACTGCTTTCTTGGCCATTTCTCCTACTTTTCTAGCTGCTTCTCTCACTCTATTCCCTTCTTTCCCTTGCTCCATTGCTCTTTCAATGGCACTCCTCACGTTTTCTCGCCCAACTTTCCGTTTGGACCTGTCTTCCTCTAACATAAACATTATCGACTCCGACCCGACGCTCACCCCTGTGCCTATTACATTCAGCACAAACTTTTCATTCAAAAATTGTTCTGCAAATAAAGGCCACGTTATCAGTGGCACACCAGCCGTTATCCCTTCTAAAGTAGAATTCCATCCACAATGCGTTAAGAATGCTCCGATTGAAGGGTGAGACAATATTAATACTTGTGGGGCCCATCCTCTGATTAAGAGACTTCTATTTTGAACTCTTTCCTCGAACTGATTCTCTGATATCCATCTTTCTACCTGTATGTCACAATATGAAAATATATAAGTGGATCTATCTCAAGAAAATTAAATTCTTTCAATTTTCTTTTTATAGTTAGTGTAATAATAGGGAGTATATATTAAATTAGTTATACATACCTCTAGTTGCTTATCTCCGGCTTTCACAACTAGTATGAAGGGACGATTTGAATCCTCCAAGCCCAAAGCTAACTCAATGAACTGCGCAATCGTAAATCGAGCGAGGCTTCCGAGGCATGCGTAAACGACACTCCCTGGCTGCCGAGAATCGAGCCATTTTAGGAAATTTTCTTGGTCGATTGAGGTTGTCGGGTTCCCCCTCTGGGCTTTGTCTACGCTATCCTCGTTGCATAGCGACAGCGGTCCAACGCACCAAACATTCTTCCCACCTTTGACTTTCCGAAACTCCTCAACGTATTTCTGTTCCAACTCCTCAAAACTGTTGATTATATATCCGTAAGCGCCGGCTTCGCTAGCTCTTATCTGTTCCCGGACATCGCCCATGTCCAACGTCCCGGGATTGAAAGCTCCCGGCAGCTGCGCCCTCCTAACTTCGATTCTGTCCGGCATGTCGGGGATTAAGAACGGCGCCGTTTCAGGAATCCGGTTGTCGTCCTGGAGAATATACAGGTTATGAATAGACATTTGACTGAAACAGCTCATGCCGTCGAACAGGATCCTCGGAATCTGAAACTTCTCCGCCGTTTGAGCCGTCCAGTGGATGTTTCTGTCGCAGATAATACACCTCGGCCGAGGGGTAATCTCTTCGATAATCTTCTCGGCCGGATCTCGTAGCTTGTTGATGGCGGCGAAGAAGTTGGTGACCAAAAAGTAAGACGGCAGCGCATCAAAGCTCTCACAACCCGCCGGCAACCCGGCCTCCTCCGCCGGAAACTGGAGCTGGCGCAGCCGAATGAGGAGGCCGGAGGAAACCGCGCGGTCTATCACCGCCTTGAACCGGGTGGCGTGGAGAGATGTTAGGAGTATTGTAATGGTGACGCCACGGCTCGCTAACAGCTTGGCCAAGTCCACCATGGGAATGGTGTGGCCTGGCGCCATTAAAGGTATCAGAACAAAGTTTATCTCTTCGGAACAAAAAGCCATTATTCAAACGGGTATCGGAATCAATGCTCGGAGTTAATCCGTCATGCAAGAATATATGAAGGGTGATGGGTTTAAGGAATCTTATATGTAGGCGCTGCGCTTATAATGATGAAGTGGACGATGTAAGAGCTTACATGTGTCATGTGAGAATATGCTGGTAATTGGTAAAGGCCATAGTAACTGGGATCTTTCGTGTTTCTTTGTCGTGTACCCTAGAAGAAGAGTTAGCTAGAGTTGTACACGCATCTTATCTCTAGCCACCCGTATATATGTGACCAAACAAATATTATCTACAAACTATGATCACTTCATTCATTGGAAGCAAAATTTTATGCATATCAAGTAATCTCTTTTAGTGTGTATGAACACGGGTTGTTTATAGTTAATTTGTCGATTCAAATCAAGAATTCAACAAGATTAATAAGTAGTTACTATATAGACAATCCCAACTCAAAGTTAAATTTGTAATTTTATAATTAACAAAATTAACTATTAATAAATTTAATTACGATACAATTGGTCTAGTATTTGCCTGCTCTTGATATAGGGTTTACCTAGCTAGTTTGGTTATTTCTAGTTTTTAGTTCTTTGTTTAATTTCCTCCATTTTTTTTTCTTTAAACACTATAACAACGACAAAACAGATTTGGAGAGTTATCTATTGATTATTTGCCATCTTCTAATAATTCTTTGCCAAGTTACAGAACAAAAAACTTTCTGTTATCCACTCAATGTATTTCCTTATTTAGTTACATGATATATATTGCAAAATATTTTATAATATCTACTGAGCGAGATAAAAGAGGCTGCTGGTCCCAGATCAGATGCAAATAATCGTAATGGGTGCAATGTAACATGCATCGTGCAGGTGCAGGGTGCATGCGCAACAGTTCATTTAACTTGAACCTTAGCTTTTGTGTTGTACTAGATTATGTTAGAATGAGCTTGAAAATTGTTTATATATTATATGCAGGAAATATCTGACAGATGAGGTGGCCATTGAAGATTCACATGCAGGTTATAAAATAATACCTTAAAATAAGTGAACCAATATGTGAAGCGTAATTTTGTATCAAAAAGTCAGGATGAATTTATACAGTTGGCCAATAATCTTAAAATAATTGTCTGCTATATTTTTTGTTGCTTAGCTAGTATAGTCGCATGTAAAACAAAATCTGCTGCTATTTGTACTACAAAAGGGTATGCAAGATGCGCTGGGCATGTGAAAATAATGCAAGAAATTAATGACTTAACGTACAATTCCATGATCAAAATAAATCAACCAGCTACCTGGACTATACATGCATTTATCTATGAACCATATCTGATCTTTTTCTTCATTTGTTTTTTTTTTTTTTTTGGTGACAAGAAACTCGAAGAAGACCCATAGGTCAGGTCACTTCACAGATGGTCAATTTGAAAATTTAAGACTAATAAACGTGTCAAACCATTATACTTAGAGAACTCGATGTGACATTAACTCTAAATAACATGAAACATGAAACTACGAATTGAATAATCGTGGGAGAGAATGAAAATATGGAATTGCTAATTGTATACCATCCAGGTTGCTAGCTAAAAGCTGCTAGTTTCTTGCATTACATCTCGGATTAAAGCTTTTATACTAAGATAAGATGATCCCTCTTCTGCAGTGGCTTTCTTTGCCATTTCTGCAATCTCTACTGCCTTTTCCCTTCTTCTCTCTGCTTCATGGCTCTTCTCCATTGCATTTTCTACAGCATTCTTCACATCCTCCCGCAGTATTACCAGCCCAGATTTCTCTTCAATCCCCCAGGCAACAGCGGCTTTCACTCCCACACTAACACCACTTCCTAATACATCCACAATCAACCTCTCATTGATGAACTGTTCCGCGAACAACGGGCATGTGATTATTGGTTTCCCGGCACAGATGCCTTCTAGAGTCGAGTTCCATCCGCAGTGTGTCAAGAACGCTCCCGTGGAGGGGTGGGACAGGATAAGGAGTTGCGGGGACCAGCCGCGGATTATGAAGCCTCTCCCTTTAGTCCTCTCTTCAAATTTCTCTTCTTGGATCCATTTCTCCAAGTGCTTTGATTTTTCGCCTCCTCTTATGACCCATAGGAAGGGAGAATTTGAGGCTTCTAAGCCTAACCCAACTTCTATAAGCTGTGTAGCAGACAGCCCACAGATGCTCCCAAGACAGGCATAAACCACGGATTTTGGTTCTTGGTTATCAAGCCATTCCAGGCATGGGTGTTTTTGTGTTGGGAGATTGGCATTGGCATTTCCTCTTGTTATCTTCTCCGTTTCTGATTTGTTGCAGGCTGAAACTGGGCCAATGCACCAGACTCTTGTACCTTTGGTTTTCTTGAATTCTTGTATATAATCTTGTTCCAGTTCCTCAAAAGTGTTTACTATGATCCCATCTGATATAGATTCTGCCGCGACTATCTTGTTTCTAACATCAATCAGGTCTTCTGAGCCTGGATTTAGGGCTTCCGGGAGCTGCGCTCTGGTCAACTTGATTCTGTGAGCCAAACCGGGCACTGTAAATGGTTCAAACCTGGAAACAGTTTCGTGGATTCTTGAACTGTGGAGACTCTGTGTGCATGCAAAAGAGAAACACCCCATGCCGTCGAAGAACAGCCTGGGAACGTTAAACTTGCGGGCGGTTTCGACCGTCCAGGCGAGATTCTTCCCGGAGATTATGCATCTGGGACGAGGTTTCAGATCCTGGAACAGTCTCTCGAACGGTTCCTGCAACATGGCGGCGGCTTCGAAGTAATTCTTGATCATGTCGCGCGACGGCAGGGAGTCCATGTTTTCGCATCCCGGCGGCAGGCCGGCCTGAGCGGCCGGGAACTCGAGCTCCAGAAGCCTGATCTTTAGGCCGGATTCGACGGCGAAATCAACGGCGGCTTTGATTCTGGGAGTGTTGAGGGGCGTGGAGACTATGGAAACGACAACGTTGTGGCGTGCTAGTAATTTGGCTATGTCCACCATGGGAATAAGATGCCCGGGAGACATCAAAGGGACAAGAACAAAATGAATCTGGGCACTATGATCCGCCATTGCAGACACTGCTAGTAATCTTTGAATTTTCTGGAGTGTATGATCGAAGAGCTAAGATGGCTTTGATCTTTGAAAGTGACGTGTAAAGGGTGTGATACCGGCAATAATGGCGGGCGTGACGCTTATTGCTGGAGCATTGAAGTCAACGAATACAGGCAAGGAGATGGCATCGAAATATATGCAATTTTAATTTTTAATTTCAGTTTTATTGAAAATGGTGGCCAGAATAATTTTATATTGCATTATCCGATGACTACAAGTGTCGAACGAAAGGATAAGTTGGGCAGTGCCGGCTGGCAGGCGGATTGGTACGCCCAATGGGTGAAAGTAATTACTTAAATTTAGACGATGAAAAAAATGTATGGTTGTGATGATACATGATTAACTCGTAAAAAAAATAAAAAATAAAATTACCTACTATAATAAGGTTACTCGTAAGATTTGAACTTTGAAAATTTGAACATAATAGATCTGTCCACTTAAGTATAATTTTTATACCGTCACTATTTAGATTTAAACTTTGATTTCTTTTATAAAATACTGTCTACCAGTGAATTAAGTCTGTGGGGGTTTCATATACTGATCTAAATGGTAACAGTATGGTGTCTTGGCAAATTAATGGAAGAAATGAATGCTGGCCAACTTACAGGCCCATCTCAGGATACGGTTTCTGACTTTCTGGATAACTTCACAAATTCAACAAAATGAAATAACTAGTACGTACCACTATCATGCTACAACTATTGATGCCCTATACGTACTGCACATCAGGTTGGGCAATAGCATTCATCAAATCTTGACAAACTCACATGAAAACCAAATGAGAAAGATACTTTTTCATCTTTTGCTGGGACGGGAATATCTTTTATCATCATTATTAAAAAACGTAATTGATTTTTTTTATTTTTTATTTTATACATCACACTAGAAATATTTTATGTAACAAATTTGATCAAAAAATATTGAACATAATTAAACTTGTGACTTTTTAGTACGAAAATTATAATACTTGTTAAAAAAGATTAGAAGTGAAGGCATGAATACATTACACATAAAACAACTTATTTTAAAGATTTAGAAATATTGGGTTTGAAAGTAATTTCATAATAATTGTAAAAAAATAACGATAAGAATTCTCGATTACACCATCTCAATGTAATTAGAGAGTTGATGAAATGGTTAAGCATATTTATGATATTTACATAGATGTACATTTTTTGTATGAATTAAATGACAATATCATTTATATATTATTTTCAACATGTGCTAATGTTACGTACTGAAATTTAGTATGTAATGGAAGAAACATTTCGAGTCATGGCAAATTCCAATTTCACACTTTGAACGTGTTAGAGCTCCAAAAAAAAAAAAAAAAAAGACTAAAAGACTGTAATATCAATATCTATCGATATGTTTCTCTTAGTGCTCATCTTCATATACAATAACCTATTTATACTAATTTACTAATACCTATAATAATTAACATACCAAAGTTATACTTACTATACAAGGTAATGAATGATATACATAATTTCTCTATGTTAATTTAAGCACAATATTAACTCTCTCACTAATTAAGTTGTACCATTTTTAATTATTCTTCTAATTCTAGACACATAATTAATTTTTTCTAATTAAGTTATATAATTACGTTTAAAGGCGTATCAGCTTTACTCTAAATTATTTGTCACAAGTTACGATTTGATTCTTGCGAGTTCCAACTATGGGATTCTGGGAGTATTAATCTTGGTCAAAAGCAATTTAAAAAGGCATACTTTTCAACTAGTTTTTGTACTCTATCTAGGTGAACTCGGAAACGAGGGAGGTCCTATCGAGCTGCAGAGAGGGAAAATGGAAGGCTTTGCTGAGCTGAAAGAAGCAGTGGAGAAGGTGAAGTTGGTGGATGCTCATGCTCACAACATAGTCAGCCTTCACTCCAAAATCCCTTTTCTCAACTGCTTCTCTGAAGCCACCGGCGACGCCTTGTCCTCCGCCGTACATACCATCAATTTCAAAGTTTGTCTTCTTCATATATATATATATCTCTGTGGTTTCTGGTTTACCAGCTTAGGCAATGTTTTGTATACCCATGGCTAAATACAAATGGATAGTGATGATAGAATGTGAACAAAGATTGCTGCTTTAATTTCCAAGAAAAGAAAAAAGATTGAAGCTTTAACATAAATAGTACATTGTTTGAAGCATAATGTGAAAGGTAGATACGGGTATTGCTATTTTTGTCAGACTTTGCTAGATGATATGATAGCATGTGACTTTTGGTTTTAAGGTTTTTATTTGTCTGTCTTTAATTTAGAGAAGCATAAGGGAAATTGCTGAATTATATGGCTCAAACTTATCTCTACATGCCATTCAAGAATATCGCTCTACCCATAAATTGGAAGAGACCACTGCCCTGTGCTTCAAAGCTGCAGGCATTTCTGTTTTGCTTATTGATGATGGGCTCGACTTGGACATGAAGAATGAAGTTGAGTGGCACAAGAATTTTGTACCAATTGTTGGTAGAATACTAAGGATTGAGCATTTGGTTGAGAAAATTCTCGACGAGGTAAACGTATACAATTGGGCATCTTCAACACGACATTCATTTTGTGAATGCTGTTATTTATAATGCCTCTATTAAATTGGAAAATTTTCTGCTGTGATTCTATTTTAGGGGAGGTCAGAGAAGAAAACATGGACTCTGGATTCATTCATGGAGATTTTTATGGGAAGACTGAAATCATATCCTTTCACTACTTTTATTTGTATTTTCATTCTTCTTGCTTTTGCACATATGTTCAAATTAAATATGGGTGCTGTGTTTTTATATAGAGTTTTCGTTTCTGTTATTTTCCTTAAGCTCTCATACTTTAGCAGATAAAGTTGTTGCATTTAAAAGCATTGCAGCATATCGCAGTGGTCTTGAATTTAATACCGAGGTCACTGCGAAGGAGGCTGAAGAGGGCCTCAAGGCTGTCTTACATGGTAAGATAGGCAAAATGCCAATGATAAAAAGTTGAGCAAAATGAGGATTTATAATTATAATGATGACATAATTCTGACCATTTTGATTTCCAGCTGGCAGTCCTGCCCGCATCACAAACAAGAACTTCATTGATTATATCTTCGTACATGCCTTAGAGGTGGCTCAAAGTTTTGACTTGCCCATTCAGATACACACGGGGTAACAAAAAAGCAAATAGCTTAGCATAGTCTTCCTAAGTTTATTATGTAATGTGTATGCAAAGATTATGTTTTTTTCATTTTCATGACTTTTTAATTTATTATTTCGTCAGTTTTGGGGATAAGGATTTGGATTTGAGGCTGTCTAATCCTCTTCATCTTCGCAATCTTCTCGAGGATAAAAGATTCAGCAAGTGTAGGATAGTTCTTTTGCACGCATCATATCCATTCTCAAAGGAAGCTTCCTATCTAGCTTCTGTCTACCCTCAAGTAAGATTTTAAGCCTCCGTTTGAAACTGCTTCATAATACTTCTATGGCATCGAAGCTAATATTGCATTAGCGCTTAGCTTTCTCTGCTTTCACTGCAAATATAGCTTCATGTCTCTGATAGAAGCAATATTGTCAACAATAGGTATTCCTTGATTTTGGCCTGGCGGTTCCAAAACTTAGCTTCCATGGGATGGTTTCATCAATTAAAGAACTTCTGGAGCTTGCTCCAATGAACAAGGTGACAATCGTTTACTTAAGAGTGACTAAAATTTACATGCTTAACCAAATACTAGATTATTAAATTACACATTGAAATGGCTGCAGGTAAGTTATCTTTCATTTTCAGGCGATGAAATCTGTTATTTTTCTTCTAGTCTTCTGAAACCCAAATTAAGTTTGTACTTTTCGGAGTGATTTTCAACTGAATGTTAAATATTGGCAGGTGATGTTCAGCACTGATGGGGTTGCATTCCCTGAAGCATTCTACTTAGGTTAGTGGAATCAGAGCTTTGTTTAGGGAGAACTTTCACGTTAACTCTCAGTTCTAAAAAGATCGTTCGACTGTTTTATACCATTAAATTAGTAGGATTATTTGACTCTCATTAATGTGTAGTTGTTGCCAACTTGACTGTGTTAATAGGGGCAAAGAAAGCTCGTGAAGTTGTGTTCACTGTTCTACGCGATGCATGCATGGATGGTGATCTGTCAATTGCAGAAGCTATTGCTGCAGTCCGAGACATCTTTTCAGAAAATGCAAAGCAATTTTACAAGATTAATATTCCAGTTGAATCTTTGAATTCGAAAACCGATCAATCCCCTTCCCACGCAAAGGTAGATTCACACAGTGAATCGCAAGATGTGACCCTTGTGCGCATTCTTTGGATAGATGCTTCTGGGCAGCATAGATGCCGTGTAAGCCTTTGATGTTTTATGATTGGAAATGTGATATTAGCACTCACTTTGACTATGTTTTATGATTGGAAATTTCATTTACATTTTGCCATCACTTTTAGGCTGTTACACAAAAACGCTTCAATGATTACGTTCAAAAGAATGGCGTGGGCCTAACTTGTGCTAGTATGGGTATGAGTTCATTTAGCGATGGTCCTGCTGATGGGAGTAACCTGAGTGCCGTCGGTGAGATCAGACTAATTCCCGATTTGTCAACCAAACGCAAACTTCCATGGTAGGCAGTGGTTTATCTTCGGTCCTTAATGTATTGGCAACCGTGTTTTATGTATTTATATTTTATATATACAGGGCAAAGCAGCAAGAAATGGTTTTATCAGACATGTGCATTGCTCCTGGTAAAGCATGGGAGTATTGTCCAAGAGAAGCGTTGCGCAGAGTTTCCAGAGTCTTAAAGGATGAATTCGACTTGGTATGGGTAATATTATTTGTCTGGGAATTGTGAAAATATTTGTAATCTAATGTCTATAGGCTGCCTATTCAGGGAATGAATGCAGGCTTCGAGAACGAATTTTTTCTCTTAAAGAGTGTAGTCAGGTATGTCGGGAAATTAAAACGTTTAGCTGATCATTTTCCCTTCCGAGTTTGAAATTTCTAGCTATGAACGAATGGTATTATACAGGGAGGGAAAAGAAGAATGGTTACCATTTGACCATACTATGTACTGCTCTACTGCATCGTTCGATGCTGCATCCTCTGTACTCGAAGAGATTGTTGCTTCGCTTCAGTCCTTAAACATTACTGTGGAGCAGGTAAGAGAAAATCGCTGCTTTTTCAACCTTTTCCACGAGATTGTTGCTTCGCTTCAGTCCTTAAAATTTAAGAAATCGTTTTGTGTTTTTGTGCCTAGCTACATGCAGAATCTGGGAATGGGCAGTTTGAATTTGCACTGGGATACACAGAATGTGCTAGTGCAGCAGATGACTTAATTTTTGCCCGTGAAGTGATTAGAGCCATTGCAAGGAAACATGGATTGCTGGCGACTTTTGTGCCAAAGTAACGAACTTTATAGGGAGAAACAGTTATATTGCTTAAAATATCGCAGTAATTTTGTCCTTATTGGTATTTTTGTGCCTTGTTTGTGTCTAGGTTTGCATTGGACGATATTGGGTCAGGGTCACATGTGCACCTCAGTTTGTCCAGGAATGGAGAAAACGTATTTATGGATCATGGTGGATCAGCTCGCCATGGAATGTCCAAGGTCGGGGAAGCGTTCATGGCTGGAGTGTTGGAACATCTTCCTTCAATAATGGCTTTTACTGCACCTGTTCCTAATAGGTAATAATAGTTCATGACTAATGATATGATCATCATTAATATTGGCCTGTTGTCTTATGTTGTTTTTCTTTGTCTTATGGCTAGTTATGATCGGATACAACCTAATACATGGAGTGGAGCGTACCAATGTTGGGGGAGACAAAACCGAGAGGCTCCACTAAGAACAGCCACTTCACCTGGAGTTCCAAATGGCTTTACCAACTTTGAGGTTAAGGTGTTTGATGGATGTGCAAACCCATTTCTCGGTCTGGCTTCCATCATTGCTGCTGGGATTGACGGTCTTCGCAGACGCTTAACTCTCCCCGAACCAGTTGGTAAGTTTGCACAATCCTTTTACATTGATCTCCCCGAACTAGTAGTTTGCTGCTTAGCTTGTCTTAGTTTGTCATTAGCTCCTGAATTCCATTTTTTAACTGTGATGTGATATTCTGCTTGCATTGATTTCCCCGCAAACAGATGAGAATCCCGAAAACCTTAAAGCAAGTATTCGACGACTACCAACATCTCTTGCAGAGTCAGTGGAAGCCCTGGAGAGAAACGCAACATTCAAAGGTTTGATCAACGAGAAGCTCTTGATTGCCATACAAGCAGTTCGAAAGGTTTGTTTCATACAATGCTCTCTTCATCTTAAAAGAAAATCTATGAGGTTATGACCCTAATAACATCGCAACTATAGGAAACCTTTCTAGCAAACTGCTATTGTAAACTTATGCTAAATTTTCCTTCTTTTTTTTTTTTTTTTTTTTCAGGCTGAGATAAAGTATTACTCCGAAAATAATGACGCTTACAAGGAACTTATACACAAATATTAACCCTCCTTGGTATTGCGAGAATTGTTTCAAGAAATAAAAGAGTATTTAGGTAGGATGTTATGCGATACAATAGTACTACCATAACTAACTCTTGTCCAAGAAGCTACTGGGTAGGACTGGACAGCTAGTACTACCAACAAAACAGTACGTACAACGTTTTCATGATCAATGTTTCATGGAGCATGTATAATAAACATGAGTTTACTTCAATAACACTTAAAAATAAGCACAGGGAGACAGAGTTAGTTAAATCTGAAAAACATGAAATGTGGCATTGTCCATTGAGACAAATAATTATGGGATATATATATAACAGTATGAGAATCATGATAATGTTGTATACATGTTTTCTTTCCTGGGAAATATATTGTATTGTTTGGTAGTGGGGCAAAGAATTATGATGTGGAAGTTGAAGTAAACAGGCGACAGGTGTTGGGCTGCTCCGTGACGCTGACACTGGACGTCGCTCTCCGCAGGTGATGCCATTTTAGAAGGGGCACAAAAAAGTTTTGATTTTGGACTAAAAATCTAATAATGGAAATAGACTTAGCTTGTTTGAAAAATGTAAAATTTGTTACACTTGCGTGATTGTAGTAAGTGTAATATAACACTCATAACAAGATAAAGATACAATTAAGAGAGAAAAAAAGTTCAATGGTAGAGTGTTTTATCGTCAATTCCCTTTTCCTTTTTGGCAAAATCAAGAGGCCATTGGACTATTCATAATTTGCTTTTTAGTATGATGTGAATTATATAATATCTTGTCTTGATCAATCTCTAAAAATGGTTGCCTTGTTGCCTGCCTGCATGCACCTACCCCCCACCCCCTTAATTCAAACCCTATTTGCCCTACAATTACATCAACTGCATTATCACATGCTATATTAATATTATTTTTTGCTTTTTGGTTTGTTCTAATTGCATTTGCAATAAAGAGAGGTAGGTTTTGATTGAATGCTACACCCAAGTTGAGTTGTTCTAGTTTGATTCTAATACTAAAGATCACAACATGCTAACTAACATATAATGACTACTTAATAATCTCAATATTTATTTCTAAAACATTAATTTATTGTAGACCCTGGTCCAAATATAACATTCAGGTTATATTTCTATAGTTGACACATTCTATACCTATAATTTATGTATATGTAGCTATCATATTATGTTTAAGCAATTACTCCGTATAAAGTTATTTGTTTGCATGTATATAAATCGTTAACTGTAGATACAGAATTTTTGTATCAAAGTTCATAATGTGATATTTGTTTACATATACAAAGCCTGTTAACGATAGGTGCAAAATGTGTTAACTGAAGGTACATCATTTTTGTATAACAATTGAAAAAGAAAATGTGCGTGTGCCTAGAGAGTTCCTCACAGTGAAACATATCGGGCCCAGACCCAACTCCGCAGCCGCACAAGGCCCACAGATACCGACCCACCACCAAATAAAATGGAAGCTGGAGCCCAATTAAGTTTCAGTTCCGCCCCTCATTTCGTCTCTAATTTCGAAATTGCCACTTGCCGTTAACTGGCCTTCAACACGAACTGAGCTGTCCGTTGAGTTGAGTTGCCCGCAAGAACGGAATCGCATCTGCAAATCCTTTTTTTACAATATCAGTTTTAGAGAGAGAAAGTGAAGGAAAAGGACAACGATATTCTTTATTTTTTCTCTCTCTAACCGTATGCATACAGTATATACATACATACATAGTGTCTGTGTGTATATGCAATTATATATTCCTTTCTCTCTGTATTTTATATGTGCTTAGCTAATATTTTTTCTCTCTCTAACCGTATGCATACAGTATATACATACATACATAGTGTCTGTGTGTATATGCAATTATATATTCCTTTCTCTCTGTATTTTATATGTGCTTAGCTAATAGCTATACAGGACGGATGATGAATGGTGCTGTAAGCTTTTCCTCTTTTCTGCTCTCTTTTTTCTCTTCTTAAGTAGAAAGCGTTGTCACTGTTGCATAGTTTTAACTGCTGCTGGGGTTCTAGAGAGAGAGAGAATGGGGTCGTCGTCGACTGGACAGAGCAGTAGCGGGGGGTTTGATCTGTCGTTTAAGATCTTGTTGATCGGAGATTCGGGAGTAGGAAAAAGTAGCCTGCTCGTCAGCTTCATTTCTAATGCCCTTGACGATCTTGCCCCTACCATTGGTACGCCACTTCCTTCCTTTTACCTAGCTAATCACTTGTAATAGGTTTGATCTTGTGATATGGACATTGGAGCCTGCTAGAGCTACTACAGCTCAGCATGAGCTTCTACTGTATCTGTTTGTATATTTTATGATTTGAAATCAGTTACTATAACTACACGAAATTGCATTTAAATCCGGTAAAATTTGTGAAAGGTGAAAGCTTGATGTCCAATTTCCATGTTGTAGTTGGTGGTTAACGAAATGAGATTGAGGATTTCTTGAATTTGGCAATGGGACAAATTTCCTGTAGAATCTTTTAGTTTTTAATATTGTTGCTTTCTGCTCTTTTTGTGAGCTAGCTGTTGTCTGATCTGGGGGCATAAATTTGGAAAACGCAATCTAATAGCCACAATGTAGTGTAGTTGATAAGAGTGGCGAATAGGTTTTGGCTGGGTTATATTTTGTCTAGTTTCTAGTGTCATATTGTTATATTATGTCTTTGAATGGTGATTATGAAGTTATGGAGCTTCTGTCAAAGCTGGATTTGTACTTCTTGTGTGTCTTCTTTTGGTCAGTGATTTGATTTCGACTTGGGCCCAACATATCCTAACTCATTTTAAAATTCTACTTCAAATGCCATTTTCTGTTACATGGACAAATTAGGAGTATCCTAGTGAACGAGACTATTACATGGACGAATTAGGAGAATAGAATCACAATTAAGAAGATAAATTCACAATTAGTAACTATAGCATTTAACCACATTAGTGTACTATGAATCCTTATAAAGTCTACATTTCTGCTTATACTAGGTGTTGAATTTGGGACCTATTCTTCTTTGCTTATGACAGGTGTTGATTTTAAGATGAAGACGCTCGCTGTTGGTGGGAAAAGACTGAAACTTACACTTTGGGACACAGGTATTGGAAATGCAACCTTCTGTTGTGTTTTACAATTCTCTGGTTTTATTAGCGCTGCATAAACTTTTTTCACTGTTCTAATACAATGTACTCTTTAATAGACTTCTTGAACAATATCCTTTTCCTCTGAACCAAAAGAAAAATACTACACATTTTTCCCCAGATCTAATGAACTAACTGATTCTGAATTTATAATTCCTTTTGCAGCCGGACAGGAGAGGTTCAGAACATTGACAAGCTCTTATTACAGAGGTGCTCAGGCAATCATTCTTGGTATGTATGGAATATGTCAAGGATGAATTGAATGGTTTATTGCTTTTCTATATAAAGAGTTCCTATCCTTGTAGAGAGATGCTAATTGGTCCTTGGTGGTTAACCATAGACAGCTACATCCTAAAAATATTTGCACATGATAGCTTTTCATTTTCATTAAATTTCACTTTTTTCATCCTTATTCCTTATAACAATCTATCAACCAAGCATGGGATTGCTGGTCCAAATCTTAATCCTATCAGATCTTTATTCCAAAATTTATCCTGGCTGTCAATCTTCCCATGTCCAAAATTTGAACCAAACAACCTAGGTGCATTCATGTGGAACATCTCTTTTAGCTTATACTTTTATGCAATTTGGTATGATGCTTGGTAGACATAGGCAAAACAATCTCTATAAGTTCCCTGTAATGGCAAGTCTCTTAGTTTTCATTGAAAGAGTTGTATTTTTTTGTTCTCTGTAGTTTATGATGTGACAAAGAGAGTTACCTTCACAAATATATCTGACGTATGGGCAAAAGAGATGGAGCTTTACTCAACTAATCAGGATTGTGTCAAAATGCTTGTTGGGAACAAAGTTGACAGAGTAAGTTTTCTGAAAGATTCTTCTCTTCGGTTTTGTCAAGTCTTGGAAAAATTATTTTATTGCAGCCAGCCGATTGCTTATGTCTTTATCAGGAAGTGAGGATTCACCTAAGTATACTTTAGTTGTATAAATGTATTGCCTGTTAGTGTGTGTGAATATGGTTAAGCATAACTTTACTATGAGAAACAAATCAATGCCTCTACCATCTAAAGGGAAAAAAAGGAAAGCTGTCATACTTATCTTCTTATGTGGTCAACTTCCTTCAACAGTATAAACTGTAAATTTGAATTTATGAAGATTTCTTTATATTTATGCTGGACTAGCGTTACTTAATAATTATATCTTCTATTCTTTCACAATCACGCAACTTTAGGAATCTGAGAGAGTTGTCAGCAGGGAGGAAGGTATAACTCTGGCAAAAGAGCTTGGAAGTTTATTTCTTGAATGTAGTGCAAGGACACGAGAAAATGTGGAGCAATGTTTTGAAGAGCTTGCCTTAAAGGTGACACACTTACCATCACCTTTTTAGGACCTTAAAGCATGTTATTTGGCACTTTCTAAGTTACCAGAAAAATGGGACCACCCTAGTGAATATATGAAATCATGTTTCTCGAAGTGCATAAACTGCATAATGCCCTGAGTTGGTAAAAAGATCGCTCCTGATAAGAGACTTTATATTTTCCAGATAATGGAGGTGCCTAGTCTTTTGGAAAAAGGATCTACCACAGTGAAGAGAAATATCTTAAAGCAGAAACAAGAACATCAAACACAAACTGGTGGAGGCTGTTGCTCATAGAAGAATGGGGGATATAGACTCTGCTCTTGACAGATGTATCGTACGAAGTGCTCTGGATGGGGATCATGTTTCCTGGACAGATTGTGACCAGATTTGTAAATGAGGGTTTTGTTTTCTCATGCTGCTGCTTTATTTCGTGCTTGAGGTCGTCGTACTGAGTGTGCTGCTGCTGCTCTGGGAATGTTGCCTTGACCTCTCTATTAGTTAGGTGTATAGTGAATGGTCAGTTTGGTTTTCTGATCTCTTTTCCTGTCCATACATGGAGATTGCTAAGAAAACCAAATTGAATGTATTTATTATCATTCTCCGATTTAATTGGCAATTCTTACTAGCCCGGGTGTTGTGTGCTATTTTTCTTGTTTTTTGCTTGGTTGTCTGTGTCATTCAAGAAACCATTCAGAAAGGAAGATAATGAAGAGAGCCTTAAATTTATTAACCCAACACAATCTGACCTACACAGGTGTAAGCTACAAATAGCAGGGTGGTACCAATACTGCAGTTTGAACTTCCTCAAGTGCTGCAGCATGCTGATCTCTGTTGAACACCAGTTGAAGGGTTAACGGGTTCCGGTAAACTGATTTTGATGGTTGAAGGCTGCAACAAACATTCAAACGAAAACGCCATGGTTATACACTTATAATAATACTCTGCAATCATCGAGGTATGTAAATAAATGTAATTCATACTTCTGCTTTGCTATCTGCCTCTGCAAGTCTCTGCTTAATGTCTCCAGCAATGGCAAAGAAGCCTTGCTCCACATTGTACCCAGTTTTTGCACTCTGTTTCAACAACACCATTGCATTCAGGGGCATTGCATATTTGCATTCACACAATAACTACCAAACAGAGTCTTAAGATACCCACAGTTTCGAAAAACTTTACACCATATTCATCAGCTAGAGCCTGGCCTCGTGAGGTTGGCACAACCTGCAACAAAACACTCAATCGAATGCCAGATGGAGTATGGAGTTTTAGACAAATTATGTTAGTTTTACCTTCTTGCTCTCATCCATATCGGCTTTGTTACCAATGAGTATCTTGTTCACAGTATCAGAGGCATGCTGCTCTATATTTTTCATCCAGTTTCTGATATCTGCATTCATGTTTATGAAGATAAGGTCTGGGAAACTAGTTTATCATATTATGTTACCGGTTTCACATGTATCATTCAAAGCAAAGTAAGAGAAGCAGAAATGGAGATATACTATCGAAGGAGGATTCATCAGTGACATCATAGACTAACAATATTCCCATGGCTCCCCTGTAATAAGCTGCATATCAGACAACCTAGGAATTAGAATCAGAAGATACCATCCAAGGGGTAAACCCAAGTTAGTCAGACTGTTGACTTTATAACCAAGGTTACAAGTTGACTCGCAGCAGGAGTGGCTATTGGTCATATTGCTTTGAGCCAGTCAACTATGGTCATAAAACTGGGTTTACCCCGTGCACAATCTCTGGTAGTGGTGGCTTCGTAAAAAGATTTTATCATCCATCCATATATATATGTACCAGTGGTGATTGTTCTAAAACGTTCTTGGCCAGCGGTATCCCATATTTGCAGTTTCATACGTTTTCCATCCAACTCTATAGTTCTCACCTTAAAATCAATCCTGTCACTCAAAAAAATAAAATAATTCAGTAATCTGGGCAGAGGAATTCATTTGCTGTGAACTGAAAAACTATGTAATATACCCAATAGTGGTAATATAGCTCTGTGTGAATGAATCCTCAGAAAACCTCAATAACAAACAGCTTTTTCCGACTCCTGCAATTATGAACAGTGGAAGAAGCTAACTTCATCGTCAAGAAACAGATCAAACCTTAATAGCACAGACAAAAAAGGAGAGATTTGTTTTGAGAACGCAGATAGGTATTGGACTTGCCGCTATCACCGATGAGAAGAAGTTTGATGAGGCAATCGTAGTCAGCTCGAGCCGCCATGGGAGATCAGAGTCTGTTTCTGGGAAGAAGAAGAAAAGGTTGAATTTTTATGTTTGAAGAGGTCCACGTATGTCCGGCCTTGTAAGGAGAGTGGCAAAAGAAGAGACAAGTAGCTTTTTGTCTTACGTTGCTCCTTAACTAACTAACGTCAACTATGTATATGTGCTTCGTCAAGTCTTATGTTTTTGCTTTTTAACAGCAGGCTTTCATGAGTTGTACAATGAAACTGCAGTACGTCTCTGAATCTGTTTGGAGTAAATTTAAAGTCCAGTGCACAAAGTTGGCCCAAAGAATAGAATAGATATACTCAAAAGTGAATATGAAATTGCCAAAATCAGCCTAGGGACACTCTGGGTTGGATATACATCAAAACGACGTCGTTTTGTTTAATGAAAAGAAACGGTATCTGTTTCCCACCGTTTCGCACCCTTCTGCAAAAAGTAACTCTGTTATTCAGTTTCATTTTGTATACATTGTACAGTTTCATTCGATATTTATAAACTCAAATATGTGAAAATGTTATTTAATTTAATTTATATACACTATAGTTTTATTAAAACACAATTACATGATCATTTTGATATAATTACAGCTTCATTGTACACTCAAATATGTGAAATGTTATTCAGTTTCATTTTATATACACTACATGAAATGTTATTCATATACAATATCATTTTGATATAACTGCAGTTTCAATACGTGAGGCAGTGTTGGTTTAGATATACTTATCTAACCAAAAGGTTAAATCCCACTTTAGACATAATTCCCACACTATGGCCGCTGAGGTTCAAACCTTGGTCTCTTATCTCAAATACTGCCCACTAAACCATTAAGCTAAGTCCGTGCGGATAAATTGATTTAGATATACTGTAGTGTCAGTTGGTAATTAACATATACAAAATGCGCGCTCCGTTAAAATTAACGGCGCCATTTTGACTATAGTGCACATACACCACGATCCACGATATAACGACTAGTCGTTGCCCATGGGAATCCAATAATCATTCATCCAATACTTTCTTTATATATATAATATAATGTCTGAATAGACCCTATCTTTCTAAATCTTAATACGTTAAGTTTATATTGTTTTAAGAGGTAATTTCAACTTTGCCCGTGGAAGTTTACTTTTAATTTTTTTTTTTTTTTTAGAACAGCCCTTTTGATCATAGTACTATTAGACATGATCATTTTTAGTTCATCGTCAATAAAATCGTTGAAATGTCATTAAATACAATGATATTTTGATTTATTATACAAAGTGGGTTGATCCACTATATTTTTATATTTATTTTTTAAGGGAAAATCAACGATTTGGTCCCTCAATTGTTAGCGAAATATCAATGTAGTCCCTTAATCGCGAAATCATCGATTTAGTCCCTGGAAATAACTGTTTTTAGTTGATTTGGCCCCTCCGACCGTTCCCCGTTGAAAATCTGGCGAAGGCTCCGCTTTGGCATGGGTAATTTAGTCTTTCCACACCATCTTCTTCATCCTCCTTGACTAAGCTTCACCGGAAAACGCTCGTCGATCGGAAAATAGAGCCAAGTCCATCTATCACGAAATATGCCGCTGAGCCGATTTGCACTGGGTACGGTGGTCCGTCGGATCTGCTGGTTCGCTGCCTGCCTGACCGGAATTGCTGCAAATTGCTGAATGCTTTCATCCAACCTCAACCATTTCAAACAAACTTCAAGCATAACTTCGGCATCTCGCTCATCTAAAGCCAAATTCTGTTCCTATGGCCTTGAACATTATAGGACTGGACTGGAACAATTTCATGGTTATGCTCCTTTATGAAGGTGTGGATCACCCACATCCCATCTGACCCTCTTTTAACATGTAAGCAAGCTTTGCAATTTGTTTTTGACAAAGATTGGTTTTTTCTTCCTCTCTTTTTCTTGATTGGGATATTGTTTGTGCCATCAATATTTGCAACAGTTTCTAGAGTTTCAGATACAGAAGATTTTTGTTTGCATCCATATCGGGTACAAACAAATTTTGCATCAATAAATTTTCCAGATATTCTTGATCGGCGGCTGGCCTTTATTATTACAGAAAATCCAATGGATTTTGCATATTCTTTATAAAACAAAAAGACATCCTCCTTGGATTCAAACTCCATACCATCATGAGGCTCCAAAAACTTATGATGACTAAGTGGAACCCTATCCCCATCAGAAACGAGATGTGTACTTTTCGGTCAGGCAGGCAGCGAGATGTCCCTGAGAAGCAATTCCGGTCAGGCAGGCAGCGAACCAGCAGATCCGACGGACCACCGTACCTAGTACAAATCGGCTCAGCGGCATATTTCGTGATAGATGGACTTGGCTCCATTTTTCGGCCGACGAAAGTTTTCCGGTGAAGCTTAGTCAGGGAGGATGAAGAAGATGGTGTGAAAAGACTAAATTACCCATGCCAAATCGGAGCCTTCGCCGGATTTTCAACGGGGAACGGTCGGAGGGGCCAAATCAACTAAAAACAGTTATTTCCAGGGACTAAATCGATAATTTCGCGATTAAGGGACTACATTGATATTTCACTAACAATTGAGGGACCAAATCGTTGATTTTCCATTTTTTTAAAATCATAATTGGAAATCTAAATGCCCTTGTATTTTATGAATTTAAACGATTTTGTTGATGGAGTACAAAAATTGATCATGCCACAAGAATACTAGGACTAAAGGATAATATTTTGAAAAAAATGACTAAAAATGAATTGTCACCTATAAATTTACGACCAAAATTGGAATTAACTCTTGTTTTAAAATAGCTAGACGGACAAGTATTCTCCTCGTTGTTATCTCTACTAATGTAATGTTTTTCTGGATTTGAGTTTTGACCCATTATGTTGAGCTCCCACAACCCTTGCTTCTTCATCCACAAAGTTCAAACACAATGCCCCTAAAGGATGATCGAGTGGATAGAGCATGATTTTTTTTTATTTAAAAATTTAAAAATCATGAGTTTGATTCTTGTCAAGACTCTCTAATTGATTGAGCATGTCGCACAAGGTCTTTTTCTAGTGCGATTTACCTCTCAGGTGCAATTTGCGGACTATTACACATGAGCGAAGTTTACCCTTAATACACACAATCATTATAGTGTTTTGTCTTGGAGCACAACTCAATTGGCTATATTAGCTGTAATAAGTTTGAAACCTACTAAGATTTTTTTTTTTTTATAACAAAAAATAAATGAGAAACATTTAGGGCATTAGGTATGTGAAGTGGGTCTAACCAAACAATAAATTGTGGTACATATATATGTATGTATGAGTAGGTAACTGACTAACTCCGATCTAGTGAAAATTAAAGTGTCATTTTCATGAAATTCCTCAAAAAACTGGAATCCTTAATGCCACAAAGAAAACAGTAAACACCAGCCAGGCATGCAGTTGGCTATACTCCACACTACAATATTCCTAACTTGTAATTTTAGCAACAATATAATTAATGAAATTAAGCAAATTAATTAAAGTGATCACGTTGCATCTCATGATGGGATGAGTGGTGTATGATAGTACAGGTTGGATATCCATAAAAGAAATTTAAAGTGATTGGCACATACATACCTGCCTGGCTTCCCACTTGCAACACTCTCTCATTTCATCAAATTTTTATTATATTCTTAATTCTTAATTGTCATATTGATAATGAAACAGACACTTATGGATGATAGCTTTTAGGTGTTGCTTTCTTGTGACCCTAATTCACTCCTTTTGTTTGTGGTGCTGCTGCGCTGCAGCTAGCTCCTCCCGGACATGGTGTCACACCCGCCTAGCTACCTATTTTAAATTTACAGAAAAGTGTAAAAGTGCGTTTTGAGTAAAATTTACATTGTGATCCTAGTCGAGGGTAAATGACCACAAAGAAATAAATTAGCATAGGTTGTCCTTTGAGTAACTCAAACCAAGCAGGCTAATAGACAGTTTCGTTCAATTGCTAGATCAACTTAATTAGTTGGGTTGCTCTCTAATTGCTACCCGCCTACCTTATAATTAACGCCCGCATATTGCAGGTTGACATTCATACTTGTACTGTAATCGAGTTGACATTCGAATCTCTTATGACTTGTATGATCTGAATTGAATTTTCAAATTTGAGTTTTATCCCATATACATTATATAAAGGTAGGCGTTGTTCAAGTAGGAATTGGGGTGCTAAGGTAGGCGTTGTTCAAGTAGGAATTGGGGTGCTCGTGTTACGCTTAGAGAAAGTTCAGAGAATTACTTAGGGGTGTATTCAATCATAACTTTTATATCTTTTTTAATAAAAAAAATAATTAACTTTTAAATTTTGGTGGCATTTGATATAAATTTTTCTAGTGGCTCCCTAAATGAGAGGTTATGAGTTTGAGTCTAATAGGGTGGTATTGACTCTTTATGGTTCAGTATATTGAGAAAGTAGCTCTGATCTGAACATATACTATATTGTAACAGAGTCAGTATTACTCAACAAAAAAATTTAAAAGACTAACAATATTAAAAACATTTAGTTGTTTATTATTATAAATTTTTTAAAAAAAAAACATCGACATTTTATTTTATAAATAGATGGAATAGTAACTATTTAATGAATCATTAATGATGTTAAACTTTTACATGTATATCATGAGCATAAATGTAAAAATAATAGTAATAATAATTCACAGCTCTCAATGATGAGAGATGAATATAATGATAAAAGAAAAAAGAATATACGTGCTGGCCGCCGGGGTGAGGTTGATGATGATCATCAAATCATCAATAATGGCAATCGACCAGAGTAGAAGTGGAGAAGACGATGACTCGCTCTTTCGACGACGCAAAGGGGAAGGTGGTTTCGCGGCGTTCTTCTTCCGCGGGTGCCGCCGGAAGGTTAAGGTCAAAAGACATCAAGTTTCTTGATTTCTTCGTGTCATGGGACGATGAATCTTCACGGCCGCCGCCGCTACTGGTGGTAGTTGCGGCGGCGTTAGGCGGCAGTGGCCTGTGCCTCCTCATGTGACCGCCCAAGGCTTGGCCGGAAGTGAACTCAGCTCCACAAATGGAACACTCGTGCATCCTGTTTTTGTTGGAAAGCATGGGAGACGGCGGCGGCAAAACTCTGCCCGGAATTTGCAGCGACAACGTTGTAACATCCTCGTAACTTTCTTGATTTTCCGGCGAAGGAATTGCTGACGACGATGACGTCGCTTTCAGTTTCTTGTGACTAGCTCTGTGGCCACCCAGGGCTTGGAAAGAAGGGAAGACTCGATTACACGTCTTGCACTCGTAAACTTCCTTGTTGGCGGCGGGGGCGACCAACGGCGACGGCGGTTCTTGATCGTGGCGGCCTTGAGCTAAAAGGATCAAACAGTTAGCCATGTCTTCCTCCAAATCCACGCTTAGTTCCATATTATTATCCGAGTTGGACGACGGCGAAGAAGAAGAGGACAGATGATCAAAGCTGCCGGCGGCGGCGGCGGAGAAATGACCATCACTTCCGCGGCACTGAATCGTACTAGACGAGGAGCTAGTAGCCATTCTTAACGCAACCGGAGATGGCTGCCGCGGCCGCTTGGTCCGCCTTTTCTTGATCGCACTAACCATGTGATCGTCAAACTTGATCATCACTTCCAATCCGGTCTTTTCTCGTAGCGAGGGAGTAAGCAGAGAGCTCTCAATATCAATGGAGAATAAAGAAAGAAGAAAGTTAGTTGTCAAAAAGTTGGAAATGGGGAATAGGCAATATATAGAGCTAGCAATTAAAGTGCTTATATAATCAATTTTTGGGGCTTGAGAATTATATATATTGAAGTGGGTGGGAGTGGGAGGCTAGTGGAGGAGTTGTCTTTTGTTGTGTCAAATTTTACAACCGCCCCCGTGAACAGTAACCGTGAATATGCATCTTTTACCAGCCTTCCAGCTATGGAATAAGTTGTATATATATGTGCATCATAAATGGTGGATAATAATTAATAACTTAGTATTAAGTTGTATATATGTATATATATGTGCATCATAAATGGTGGATAATAATAACCTAGTATTTTAATTTCTAAGGTGTATGGTACTACCACTTTGGACCAGAGTTGGGAGAAATATTTTAGCACACAAATATAACACTATACTAGAAGGATCTTATCTCATCCCAGAATTTGCATGATTTAGGAGAGCATTTTCCTAATTATTGACTTATAATTTCCGAGATAACTTTCCTATTTTAACCCGAGCACTCGAATTAGAATATAGAGCCTATAGATACTTACCCGGAAAGAGACTTGTAATGGTTCAAACTCTTTTATTCTCTAAAACGACAATACCAATTGACCTAATAGAAAATTGAAATAATGGAGTAATTAAGATTTTGGTTGGGTTTGAAGAAAACCCATTATCCATTGCCAACCATTACTTTGAGGAGTAGCTGGCAGCCTGGCACCACATATTATTTTACAGTTCTCTGCCTCCCTACCTACTTATTCTTCCTCTTCATTTGGTTGTGTTGTCTTTATATCACTACTGTAAATTATGAAATTTCTGACTACCTGAAAGTGATCTTAAATCAAGTCAAAAGTCTTGTTCCGACCACTTTTGGTATCTGAAAAAACCTTTATTGCTATTTCCGATCACTTTTTACTTTCGACTTGATTTAAGATCACTTTCATACAGTCGGAAATTTCATAATTTTCAGCAATGATAACTAAAATGCCAAAACCAAATATATATTGCCCTTACATAAAATTCATATATACAAACAAATTAAACTTACTAAACACACTAAAAACGACTATTCAAAAAGCCAATTCAAGATGTACTCATTGATATACGAATATGTGAAGTAATTATATATGTAATTTTACATAGTAGAACTATACTGATACAATATTATTGGGCGATTATGCAAAAGTGTTGACTTAATTGGTGAAATGATGTTAGTTAAGTTAGATTATTAGTAGTGATATTAGGCACTTAATGAAGCAACCTCCATGTGCAGTTGACTGACCCAACCACCAACCTAGCTGGGTACCAAGAACCATATAAAGTTTGATCACTTGTTAAATGGATTACGACCCAAAAATCGCGCCGGGTTTGCTAAGCTGATCATGCATATATGGATTATTATATATATTTATTTTACTCATCATTATTAATGTTCTGTACATAATCCATATGCAGGTTAATGATGATTAGTGTTACTAAAGTAGCAGACAGCGACACCTTATCTTGACAACGTGTGTGCGTATATTTAATGAACCGGCAGTACTGGCTAGCCGAGCTGCTAAGTGTTTGTTTAAGTGAAGTTAATTAAGAAAGCTAATTAAGGTGATTAGATCATGTTAGTGTTCAGTATGAATTGAAAGAAAAGAATAAAGCTAGTTCACATTATAGGATGGAGTTATTAGTTTAAGTATTTTAATTAGTTTTATTAATATTCGTCATGATCATCGTATTGATCGACGACATGGATGGATAATATAATGCAGTACATGTGCATGGTCAGCTACGTAGTAGATTTAGTTTGCCGGCCGCGGGCCGCCGCTACTTACCTCAATCAATATCGGATGTTACTGAAGTTATTTTATGGTGTTGAATTGGATGGTTTTTTAATCCCAAATCTAACACATAATTGGGGAAATAAAGCAATGCAAGTATGAATTTGTTGAGCGGAGACTATTAATTTTACTACTAACGGGTCGTAGTTGACAGTAAACCAACATCACTTTTAAAATAATGAGTATATATGAGAAGAATAAATAGAAGTATATATTTTATTATGGAGAAATTGAATCCCTTTTATTTTTTGGGAGAGAATATTTATACAAAGAGAGACTCAGTCTAAAATGCTCTGCATTGGGAGATATTGTTACAAGATTAGGAGTAGGTAATTAACCTAGTGCTTTTATGCTACAGATTAGCCTAAAACGTCCCACTCCTGCCCGTATTGAGCTATGGACCGCGAGCTCTACCCGCTTATAAAGGTATGACACCTTAGGCCTTAGCTTATTCTTTGACTAGCTCTTTTGGGCTCAACTATCTCTCCAACTTCTTAAGCCTAATATTCCATTAATGTTTATTAAAGATAATAAATAAATAAAAGAACAATGTATTATGATGGAGAATAGAATAGATTCTTGGAGTAACAATGCACATACATAGTTGTCAGTGTTAAGAGACAACGTGGGATGGATAAATCGTGAGGGGCACGTAATTAATTAAGATGGTCTTCTAATTGTCGTACCTGGACTTATTGGTTAGCTATACTAGGAGTGTTCCCACTAACCTCAAGCAAAGCATTAATGTTATAAAACGCTACTACATACAGTCTACAGCTCTAAAATAATGAAAAATATCTGTATTAAGGACCAAAAAATTATTGTTATTATTCAAGGCTATTTATTCATTTTATCTATTATTCATAAAAAAAATTAAAAAAAAAAAAAAAAAAAGATGACTGGGTTTGGAAGCATGGAAGAATGAAAGAGCAAGCAAAACATGCATGGCGGCGAATGTAGCTTGTCTCCTACGTTAATGGCACTACAAACAATACTATAAAAATACAACTAACTCCGATCCACTACTTAAGCACCTTGAGAGGGAAGATATACGTAGTAGGCCAGATAGGGGACATTTTCAATTATTGAGCATGTATATCACTAGTATATATCATTCTTTCAAAAGGCTGAATTCCAACCCTAAGGGCTCCACACTTTGACCCGACAGAGTATTTGGGATGATGTAAATCATGGTAAATCAGTAGTATATATCATATGTGTATTCTATGTAGTTAACGGAGGATGGTGGTTTGGACATCAACATGTTTTTATAACTAATTTAACCGAAAAAGAAAATGATCGAAGCATTTATTTGTTCATAAGAAAATGACATCAATACTATGAGACATTGAATTGAGACGCGCCTGCATGCAGTTGTTATATTATAGACCGCGGTGCATAATCGATTATGCACCGCGGCCCATATACGGCGCCGTTTCTTTAAGTAAAGAAACGGCCCGCCGTTAGAGTTAACGGAGTCCGTTTGTTTGGTATATTAAACACCAACTGACACTACAGTATATCCAAACGACACTGCAGTTATATCAAAATGATACTGTAGTTATAGTGAAATGAAACTGTAGTGTATATAAACTGAAAGTGAATAACATTTCACATATTTGAGTGTATATTGTACAATGAAGCTGTAATTATATCAAAATAATCATGTAGTTGTGTTTTAATAAAACTATAGTGTATATAAAATAAAATTAAATAACATTTTCACATATTTGAGTCTATAAATATCGAATGAAACTATAGTTATATCGAAATGAAACTGTAGTTGTGTTCAACTGAAACTGCAGTGTATACAAAATGACACTGAATAACAGAGTTACTTTTTGCAAAACAGTGCAAAACGGCGGAAATAAACACTGTTAATTTTCATTTAAAAAAAAAGACGCGCGGTGCATAATCGATTATGCACCGCGGTGCATAATATAATCAATCGTTATGCGTTGGACCCGTGTCCAGCATGCTTGCTGGACACGGGTAACAGTGCCGTTAGGCACTGTTATCTTTTTTTTTTTTTTTTTAATTTCAGACCGCTTCATTGTAAGAGTATATGTTCATAATTTTATTACTATATGTTAATAACTATACATTCATAACTCTATAACTGTACGTTCATAACTCTATAACTGTACATTCATAACTCCATAACTGTAGATTCATAACTCCATAACTGTACATTCATAACTCCATAATTGTACATTCATAATTTTCGAAGCTCTATGTTCACAATTTTAGGGCTCTATGTTCATAATTTTATCACTATATGTTCATAATTGTAAGTTCATAATGGTAGAGCTCTTTGTTCATAATTCGATCAATAACTGTACATTCATAATTCCATACTGTAGATTCATAATCTCATAACTGTAGATTCATAACTCCATAACTGTAGATTCATAACTCTATAACTGTACATTCATAATCTTCGAAGCTCTATATTCACAATTTTAAAGCTCCATGGTCATAATTTTATCACTATATATGTTCATAATTGTAAGTTCATAATGTTAGAGCTCTGTGTTCATAATTTCATAATTGCATAATTGTATATTCATAACGGCATAACTGTACATTCATAACGGCATAACTGTACATTCATAATAATAAAAAAATAATAATAATAACGCCGTTAACGGCAAAACGCGCGCGATTTTTTTTTATATAACTAAATGACGCGTTTTTTAAAAAAAAAAACGACGTCGTTTTGGGCCCGTGTCCACAATTCAATGTGGACACGGGTCCAGGGCATAATTTGCCTAATATAATTTGCCCCTGCATGTCCACCTATATGTAGCTGGTCCAAGAATGAGTATAGTGGGCCGGTTGTTGTATATGTCCTTTGATCCACCAACGTAGGAGGCCCATGATAAAATAGTTGTCGATCAAAACAAGTCTGCTATGTTAGTCATGTAAAAATTTTACTGTGGAAATATATGCAATGAGAAGAAAGTGACGAAACGCCCATTGACGCGACACTGCTGCCTGCGCTTCCTTGGAGGGAACGGTGTCGTTTCAAAGGTTACGTCTGTAGCTTTGAATGTTTGTATTGCTGGAGGCTAGCTGGCTGGCGTGTCGCCGCGTCATCCGCCACAATGCAAATGATGGTGTTTCATTGAATCAAAGCCTCAACTATGGGGGTCTAATCTGAATTTTCACAAAGATTTGCATTATTGGCACCAGATTTTTTTGTTCTTATCACCCAAAAATATCTTCTTTTTTAATTCTCCTCTGCAACCAAACTCAGTTCACCATCGTTTTTTGGTTGCCGGAAATGGAGAACGCTTTGCTGCACCAGATGGTTCCTCATCAGTTTTTGGATGAAGATGGAGCTAGGGCCGAGATGGGATGCGGAAATTATGGGTATTTCCTCTTTTCCTTGATGTTTTTTACACTGAATTCTGCAAAAACAAGAAGATTTAAGTGAAAGTTTTAATTTTTATCTTGTTTAGGTGCTCGCACTATATGAGGAGATGCAAGATCAGAGCTCCGTGCTGTGATGAGATATTCGATTGCAGACACTGCCACAATGAAGCAAAGGTATAATCTTTCACTTTTCTTTCAAACTTCTTCCTAGCTTTTACTGTATTTATCATCTTCAATGAGAAACTGATTATGATTTTTTGGACAGAATTCTTTAGAAGTTGATCCACTCAAGCGGCATGACATTCCTCGACATGAAATCAAAAGGGTATAGTTTCAAAATTTTCTCATCTTCTGTATTACAGTGGACTTTACAATATCTGAAGAAGAAGATATTACTTTCTGTATAATCTAATTATCTAAAGAGTAATAATAATGGATACTGCTTTATAAGGCTTTCGTAGAAGTTAGCTGTTCTGTAATTTTCAACTTTTTGGTTTAATAATTGCATGTGTTTTCACTGTTCAGGTCATTTGTTCCTTGTGCAACACTGAGCAAGATGTGAGTTTTCCTTCTGGATTTGATGATTATTGGTGTTGGTGTAGTTACTGTTTTCGATTAGATGACTACTTCAAATCTTATATAGCCCCGCAAATGTCTTGCAGGTCCAACAAAGATGCATCCAATGCAGGGTTTCTATGGGGAAGTACTATTGCTCAAAGTGCAATTTCTTTGATGATGATGTAAGTTTTCGAATCTTTGTTATTAGAAAGTCTAGTCCGGTTATTATTATTATTATGCTCAAACAAACAAACTGGTTTGTGTCTTTAGGTTTCGAAGAATCAATATCACTGTGACAAATGTGGAATCTGCAGGTTAAAACCTTTTCACCATTACTATTTTTGTCATCATTTCTATCGATATCAAAGGATGCTCTTTACCTAATAATGTGGTGACATTAATTTCGGGGCTCAAAGTCAGTCATTTTGCCTCTTCTTTGCTTGTTTCTTGCATTTCACTTTTCCTTTTCATGTTTTTCCATTCTTCATCACAGAACGGGAGGCAAAGAAAATTTCTTTCACTGTAATACATGTGGTAAGTGACCTCACTATATTTATTTAACTTCATTTAGCGTGTTACATGGTCTGTTTTGTTCCATAATTCTGGGATTTAACTTCATCTTGAATTTTGTTCAGGATGTTGCTACTCGAATTTGATGAAGGATTCACATATTTGTATAGAAAAAGCAATGCACCACAACTGCCCAGTTTGCTTTGAGGTAAATACAGCAACGTAGAGCAATATATAAATATAAAAGCTCTTATTTTCTTATTATTGTGATTTAATCCTGCAGTTTGTTTTTGACACCACGAAAAATATTACTGTTTTGCCTTGTGGGCACACTATGCATCTTGAATGTGTGATGGAGATGGAAAGGCATTATCAGTAAGTTTCTGTTTGTCTTTCTGTTCTTTCCGCAATGAGAGCAACCGTATCCTCGTTGCACGTTTTGGTAAAAAAAATCTTATATTCCTAATAATAATAATTTGATAATGCAGGTATGCTTGTCCTGTTTGCTCGAAATCATTTTGTGACATGTCCCGGGTATGGGAAACGCTTGATGAGGAGGTAGGCGGTGTCCAAAGAGATTTGAAACTCTGCAATTGGTATATGACTTTGTTTTTAACTTATCATTGTTACTGCAAAATTTCAGGTTGCCTTGACACCTATGCCGGAGATGTATCAAAATAAGATGGTAATACACTAATATGTGTATATATTAGGCTTGGATTGCATATATTGATGCCATAATAATCTTACCTCTTCACGTTGCAAATAAATTAGGTCTCGATCCTTTGCAACGACTGTGGGAATTCATCTGAGACTAAGTTCCACATTCTGGCGCACAAGTGCCATAACTGCAAATCCTACAACACAAGGCAAACGAGAGAAGGCGCCACCACTTCATGCTCATCTAGGGTCACCGGAGTTGTTAGAGGATAAACCTCGATTTCTTAGATGAGGCTCGAGAGCAGAATATCCAAGAAGCAAAATCATTATTCCAGACATCGCATCCTTCATTCTTTCTGGTCTATTCGCTCCATCTTCCATCGGGGAGCATCATCAAGCACGTTAGCACGGCCATCATTGTACCATTTATGTGCATATCGGGTAATGGATCGATATCTTTTGCTAATTATAGTTTCCAATCCCCAATAATATTATAAAAGCCAGTCTGTTCTTCTTTCTTAGAAATATAACCATCACATGCTGCTTTTGCATCTTGCTCAGTCTTAATTACGTGTGGAGCTTTATATTTAAATCTGAACACAATCCTTGTTTCTTGTCCTCAAATTTATATATTTTTGATGATCGAAAACATCATATTACAACATGAACACTATGAATTGAAACATCAGTAAAAGGAATAAAATCTGAATTATTATTCTGTACTCCATAATTATTCTTTCACAAGCTTATATCAAAACATAGATCTTTCTGTCATTGAGCGGCTGCAATGGTCTTGCATTCCACTCAGCATACTGCAATAAATGTAAGAAATTTCTATAAACTTACTGTGTTAGTTAAAACTGTTAAGTACAGAGTAAAAGAATTCTGTAATTGAACTTACATCATGAACTGCTTCTCTAAGCAGTTTCATCTGTCTCCAGGAAACAGTCCTTATCTAAAAAATTTCCAAGTTAGGTAATAATCGCAGAGTACTAAACTATCAGACAGGTTAAGGAAAAACCAGAAAAAAAGTTAAACCTTGGTGTTAATGGTCCAGATAACACCTTCAGTACAAGGAGGAGTAGTGAGTGAACCAAAGTATCTGTAGTACATCGTACAGGTATAGTTGATTTCTGTGGGATCAATCCAACCTGTGTGTATCTCTTCATCTTCTTCATCCACCAGTAGTGAAATATTACTCATCAGCTGTCCTTTTTTACGACGAACTTTCATCAGAATTTACAAGAAAAGGGGAAGGGTGAAGGGCGTTTGAGCCGTACTTCATGTATAAGCGACTCAATTGAAGTCCAATGTTTTACTTACCCGGGAGAGAAAAGCATCAGGTTTGCCAATCCTGTAAAGAACACTAGTAACAGCTATTTGATTCTGCAGTGTCTGGTCCGGGCTTTGGTGAACCATGTGCAGCTCCATGGCATATCTGTTCAAACATATACAGCATCAAACATTCTTAATCGAAATGTAGGGACAATCCTAACTAAGTTGGTCAGACTCTTGACATAGTAACCATAAAGTTACCTATTGAATTGGTCAGCAACTTAGGCTGATTTACCTCTTTGCAATTTTCTGTCAGCTAGGGTCACAAGGCAGGGTTTACTGAAATGCAAAACAAATTCAAATCTTACCTTCTTCCATTGATAGTGTGTTCAGAGGGAGAGTGCCAATGTGCTGATTTTAAAGGGTACTCTATCCCATTAATAAAGTATGATCCAACATCACCATGCCATTTAATCTTCATGACATGAAAATGATCAAACCATTATATTAATGATCTGAGAAGGTGACGATGTTTAACATGACATATAGAAAACCAGAATCCTTAAAAATACCGAAATGTCGTGGCCACGATTCTTGATAGTGGCATTGGCAGGTTTGTAATACTTATGCTCGAAGCTTCTGATAAGTTCTACTCTTTGATGAGACATAATGTCGATGGGAGACTGCATTTCTCCATTCTTGCATGCTTCCCATTCTACCTTCAGATCTCCCCATCTGTGAGGACCCTTTTCACTTCGTAAACTGTAATCAAACTCTCTCTCATCCTCTTCACAAATACAAATTAAAAATAAGTTAGAAATATTAATAAAATCATTTTTATTATGAACAAGAACACGATGAATAATATTTGGTAATCTGGAACTGACCAACTTCTTGAGCTTTGATGAGTGAAGAATGGAAGACAAGAACCAAGCAGAGAAAAGCAAGGATTATGAGACTATTCATCTTCATCTTCATTCAGGAAATGAAAATGGCGGAGCTTAAGATGGGCTGATGATAGCTGTTAAACATGCTATCACTATATATGAAAATTCTTCAGTTTTTTTTTTTTTCATCATATAATTACGCTTTAACTGTGTCAGCCTGAGGATTTGGAAAATATCTCATATAATTATCATAAATGACAGTGAATTTAATTGACGTAATCAACTCGTGATATAATCGGTAAATTTATAGATAATCAACCGATATAAAAAATTATGCCCACTCATCACTTGGTTAGGTTACCATTTTCAATAAAGGTTTTATTAGGAAAAAAGATTTATTTCCTTTTTCTAATAATTCGGTTTTGAAAAACTTGACTAATTGGGAGTAGTTTTTTCGATCCAACCTAAAATTGACTATGAATATTCGATATAGTGGAATGTGCTTGATGTCAACCGGTAAGGTGTTGAAAATTGAAAGCACAAAGAAGTTGAATGTGAATGCATATAGTTCGTCTATCAGTTGAGCTGCTAATAAATTAAAATTATTAATTTATTTTATATAGATTGACCAGTTGAGTTGTGTCTCAAGTACAACCAGAGATCAGACATACTAGAAATGATAAATCAAATCAGGAATATAAAGTATGGATAAACATCTAGGCACTTGTATCAGATTGCGAGCCTATAACTTTAGTTAATTAGAGTATGAGCCAATCTATTTGCTGATTTCCTAACGAGTAGAATATAAATACTATTTATAGATTGAATCAAAGCAAGTCATACATAGAAATAATCCATATTTTCCGGTTAATTTGAGGTAATGCAAATATTTAAATAAGCCGTTTCATTCTAAAATTATGTTACCGAATCCCTTATCTTTAATTCAAGACAATGAGAATGATTTATTGTACGTGTAATGCACAATTCTCGTACTTATTACAAGAGTTCTCCTCCTTATATTCCAGATTTTCAAAGCTCCAATCAAGTTAAAATTTATTTGATTAAGGTCAATTAATGACCATGAGTAAGAAAAATAAGTTTTTTTTTTTTTTTTTTTTTAGGAAGAAAAAGAAGATTTGATATGTATTTGTCCACAATGAGAAAGCTCTAATAATATTCCATCACATTACATTGTTTCACACTTTTCACTTCATTATATATATGTTATGTTATCAGAAGACTTTTTTGGCATGTGCAATTTTAATACCTTTCATGGTAGGTAAGCAATGATCCAAATGAAAATGAAACATATAGAATTAAATGTCGTGATGCAGATAGGAAAAAGTGCATTTACTAGTGGCATGATATGATTATTGGTTGAGCATGCAAATATTCCTAATATTCATAATTTCTTTTAGATTAGTAAGGAAATTGTAATTAGTAATTACTACTTGAGTGCATTTGCGGTGCAAACTCTGCTCCTTTATAATAATTCAAAAATTACAATTTATATATTTGAATATGACATCAGGTATCATCAAATCCTCAATTGCTAAACTAATTTGAATTTATCATTAATCATAGTCTTAAAAGTTTAATTCTTATTTGTAATTAAATGACTAATTTAGAGTTCTTTTAACATGTCATACATTTACAAGAACTCATGCATATATATAATCATTATGCCTTCTATTGGTTGGAGAAGATTAAGAAAAAGACAAAAGTGGCCCTTTGTGAACTAAAGATTGATCACCACATAGAGTATAAATAAATATGTAGGGAGAAGAAATATGTAGTCTAATAACAAAATATGCGTGTAGTACAACGGATTACAAAACAATAAATTTAATTCTAAAATTTATTAATATCCTATGGTGCAAAACTCCAAAAATCAATAAATGAAATACCCTAATTTCATATAATAATAGCTTAGTTCTTTATTTCGTGTAGAAAGTGTTTTATCATCAATCACTTTGAATTTTCCGCCGGCAGTCGGAGATAGATTTTTCTACTGTTGCGTGGTTGAAGCGGCCGTGAATTTCTCTCAGCGAACTGCAATTAAAATTTCTAATTATTATTAAAAATTGTAAAAGAAAATTTTTATTTCGCAAATAAATATACTTTTCTAAACTTATAATTAAATTTAATTAATTAAAAAAAAAAAAAAAAAAAAAGATTACTCACGTCGTGAACAGCTTCTCGAAGCAACTTCACTTGCCTCCTGGATACAGTTTTTATCTAAAATAAAATGATTTCCGAGAAGTTAGCATTGACTCCAAATTAATTACTTGAATTAAGGAATAATTAAAATTTTTAAAAATAATTGTTACCTTTTTATTGACTGTCCAGATAACTCCTTCAGTGCAAGGGGGAGTAGTGAGAGAGCCAACGTATCTATAGTATTTTTTGGTTATAAATTTGATTTCATTTGGATCAACAAAGCCTATGTTTCTCTCCACGTCTTCTTGATCAATCATGGATGTTATATTCGTCATCAACTGCATAAATAATGGAATTAACAAAAACAATTCTTTACAACATAATTCTGGTACGAGGTACGACTTTTAATAATGTATTGTTTTGAAGTTGGTAAGAGGTTTGGTTTAGCAACCAAATCAAAGAAAAATGAAGTGATTAGTGGACTGTAATCATTGTTAGGGTCGGCCACAGACATACCTTGGAAAGAAACGCGTTTGGTTTGCCAATCTTGTAGAGAACAGCGATGACAGCTGTTTTGTTCTGCCCCGTTTGTTTGTCTGTGTTCATGTGAAGCATGTGCAGTTCCAAAGCGTATCTGTCGAGAAACATAGTATCATAGGTGTTAATTAAGAACATGGATATTATACTTTTATTTCACGAGGAAATTTGTAGTCACTATTTATTTGATGGTATACATTAGATAAATTTTATTTTGTGATCTTAACAATGACTAGCTTTGATTGTTTATAGCTGACTGATCAAATCAAGAAAGCTAATAAGATATTTTCCTTGAATTGAAGTTGTAACTTTGTAATTATCAAATCAAACTAACAATCTAACTAACTTAATTAGCTGGGAGTTTACCTTCTTCCATGGATGGTGTGCTCGGAAGGAGAGTGCCAGTGAGCTGCTTTAAGAGAGTACTCTGTGCCGTTGATGAGAATCGATCCAGCATCACCATGCCACTCAATCTACACCATATATGAACAAATTATTAGGTTAAAATATTCAATCGATCATTCTTTTTGATATCTTATATTCTTCTATTAATTAATATATGCTGATCGAGTTGACTAAACCCGTCAATTATTTGATTGATTAGAATGAAGATGTTGTTACCGAAATGTCATGGCCTCGATTCTTGACAGTGGCATTTGCAGGTGTGTAACTCTTCTTCTCCACCTTCTGAAATATTCTGACCCTCTCGTGGGATAAATCTATTGGGGACTGCAATTTTCCATTCTTGCAAGCTGCCCATTCTTTCTTTATGTCTCCCCATCTACTCGGCCCCTTGTCGCTCTCTTCATCGTATTCAAATTCCCTCTCATCCTCTGTAAGTAAACATCGCCAACAAACAATATATATAGTTAAGAAACATATATAAACAGAAAGACCATTCATTATAAGCTAAGGTTTTGTTTCAATGTTTCATGCATAATGTTTCATTACATACCAACTTCTTGTGCCGTTGCTGCATGCAAGAAAAGGAAGAAACACATCAGGGAGGCAAGAATCAAGGTTGCAGAAACGCTCTGTTTCCTCATTTTTACACAGATGATCGATCTGAAGAAGCAGAATATATAAATCAAATGAGGTTCGGTTCTTGAAGAGGGTGATCTGATATGATATGATTAAAGTGAGGAATGAGAGGGTGTTGTGTGGTTGGTTTATATAGAAGGGTAGCTTGTGAGAGGGCTATTCTGTCTTGGCTTCTATACATGAAATTTCCTTCATCTTTCTTCATTGCATATATATATATATATATGTATTCACATTTCACAAATACGAATGAATCTAAGTTAAGAAAAAAATGTTTTTACGGATATAATTAATTGATTTCTTAAGTCTTTACCAAATACCAACTCTTTATTATAATATCCAGATTATATATAAATTATTATTGAAATTTTTGTCCGGCACTAATCGAGTTTAATTTGAACCTAAGATTTTTGGTTCAGCTGGAAAAAGTTTGTGTCATCTCATTCATACTCCTATGAAGGGTTAATGACTTCAATTATAGTGAAACAAATTCTTCAACACATATATATATATATAATATTCCATATTAGATTGTACACAAATATTACGTGTATTCTTATTTTACTTTATATTTTTTTTATATGTTGATTGATGATTTGTTTTAGACACTGATACACTTTCCTTTTATTTATATATTAGTGTTTTTAATAATTTCGAATCCATCAATATAAATTTTGTTAGAAGTATAAGTAATCTTTTGTTATTCAAGACAATTCTGAAGTTCTATTTGAGATTGAATAATGTATACATAGAAAAGTAATAACACAATCTATGTTGTGAAGGGAACCTTCTCTCTTTTCTTCTGTATATTGTCTTATTATTTCTTATTCTTCTGTATTGTCTTCTTATTGTTCACCTCCACCATACCATATTTCTAGAATTCGACACACTCTTTTGACCTTTCAACTCTATTTCATAATAATAATAATAATAATAACGACGACGATAATAAAACTTTAATAATTTTTGTTTTTTTCTTAATTCGTATAATATATTATGAGACAATATAATATAATTGTGCAAGGTGATGGGTCAACATCGATAGTCAAAGATATTCAAAATTGTGAACAGTAGTTGACATTTCAGACTAGAACAATTCTGACCTGAATAGTTTGGGTGGATATATTATTTTATTATTTATTATTTATTTATTTGGTTTTGGTTTTACATTTAACTAATTGGGTAGGTAAATACTTGAATTTTACGGCCAATTAACATTGTGGAAATTATTACATTCAATTTTCAGAGCATACACACACTGTGTCATCTTTGAAGGGAGAAAGCAGCCAACTTCCAATCTTTATACACACGTTCATGAATATGGAAATCATTTTCAAACAATTTTGCATAGTAAAATTGATGATAATTATAAATGATCCAATACCTATATATGTGTGTATTTTGTACATTGAGAAGAGGGGTTACTTTCTTATTACTGGCTCTATTACATTGTAGTATGTATTCATATACTTTCTCAA